GGAAAGACTGTAATGGAGAATTGAGATACTTTACACAGCTAATTCTGTTTTAATGCTGTTCCTAGATTTGAATGAAATAGTTTTATTTAAAGTGGGCAGATGCTAAACTTGGTAAATCTGACGAACTTTATATTACTGTTTTATTCTATAATGTTGTAAAGCGTCAGTTTTATTAAACTACTTTAAGACTTAAATTATATGTCTCCTATTGAACCCAGTGGAAAGTAAATCAATACACCTGAAAAGTTCAAAGTAAATACATTCTTTTTACCTTCCCTTTAAGTATTAACATCAGTTTTATTAAATATGGACTTAAACAGTGAATTAGTAAATACTTCCCTATTAGTGAACTGCTCTGTGTTAAAGTACACTGAGGAAAGCAAAGTAGACTATTATATAATTGAATATTTTCCCATTCAAATTAAAACTTTGACAAATAGCCAGGGTTTCTTCTGAATGTCACTTATTTCTGTCAAAGCAAAAGTGTAGAGTTAACACTGAAGGGCTTGCTCTAAACCTTCTCCAGTATTGTGTGTTCACCAGAATATTGAGTTTCATTCCCAGTGGCACCAGTGGTCTCAATCCTATGGTTATAATTGCCCTGAAGTTATCCATAACTACCCTGGATGTCGCACCATGGGAAACATTTTTGAGAAACAAAAAAGAATTTTGGTAACTGTATATTTGTAGTCTCACAAATCTCTTTCAGCATAGAATAATAGAAAGGAATTGACACTAATACAAGTGACCTAAGTAAAGCCCCTGAAGAATTATATGCCTTAATTTAGAAATTTAAGAACAGTTTCTACTGTTATTGAGTCATAGGACTATGTAATAATAATTGCAGATTTAGTACTAAGGCAGAGACAATTGTTTACTTAGAAGAGATTATCAGTTTGTTAAATCAAAAGTAGTTTGTAAACTTTAAATTGCCTTACAAGTGTGATTATTTTATTTATTATTGAATCTGAAGGACCATGCCAAGTTATGTTTAATCTTTTTTTTTTTTTTTTTTTTTTTTTTTTGCGGTACATGGGCCTCTCACTGTTGTGGCCTCTCCCGTTGCGGAGCACAGGCTCCGGATGCGCAGGCTCAGTGGCCATGGCTCACGGGCCAAGCCGCTCCGCGGCATGTGGGATCTTCCCGGACCGGGGCACGAACCCGTGTCCCCTGCATCGGCAGGCGGACTGTCAACCACTGCACCACCAGGGAAGCCCTGTGTTTAATCTTTTGAGAACCCTATCCTTTGGCCTTGTGACTCATTTTCTTAAATAAGACATATCTCTGCCCAGCACAGTTTTGAGCCTCTTCCCTATGTTACATCCTGTAATTTCCTTTAATCCTCACAACAGCCTTCCAAGAAGAAGGTTGTAGTGAGGATTAAAGGAAATTAATCTGTTTTATTACTGAAATTCTAAAAGGTTAAGTAACTTTCCTGAGGTCACAGAGCTAGTAAGCCATCACTGATTTTTGTTAAGTTTTTCATATTTCATTGGCATCACTTCCCTCTGCAATGTCTTTCTTGACTGTTGCTTTATATGAGTGATATCCTGATACTGCAGCAAAGGCTTGGTGTGACCAACTGGCCTTCGTTTCCCCAATAGTATTAACATATGAGCAGATTCCACTCTGTATTAATGTCAGATATTAACATGAGAAATGGGCCGTGTTTAATAAAAGTAGGAGATTAAATCATATTTATCACATATTTATATGAATGAAGCCTGTCTTCCTATAATACTTATGCTTTTCAAAGGTAGCTAAAATTTTTACCCTGAATTTAAAAATCATGTTATAAGTCCATATGTCAAAAGGGAATATGATATTCAGATCTACTTCATACTGATAAATCATTGTTCAGACTTTAGGAATGGCGTTAGGATATAATTTAAGGAAGAAGAACATTCGAGTAATATTTTGTGTTCACAGTGAATTTAAAATAAATTTAGCTAGTCAACAGTCATGTCCAGCTTTCATACTTTACGTAGCATTTAATAATGCCATGCTCATGAGCCTTGATAGATAATTTGGTCAAAATTAAGAATAGAAATTAAACTCTGAAAATCTTCATGGAATCTTTTTTGCTTTTTCTGTTAGGAATCTCAGAACTAAATTTAGTCTTCATTGCTAAAATAAACTTCTACCTGAATATTGGTGTACCTCCCCTCCCCTTTCCTTAAATCATGGTTACTCTTAGTCTCCCTGTTACCTGCAACCTTTTAATACTGTCCTTTCTATGTCTCTTTATGGTACACCACATCAAATCCTTTTTGGAAAAAGGAATGATATAAACTATTAAAGAATTAATAAACTGTAAAGAGAGTTTGGCTGTGGTGAAATTAGTGACCATGGTCCTTGTCTATTAGAGTATACTAAAAATGAGAGAATTCTGTATCTCGGAAAAAATAGCATGCCTCTGGTGGCAAGTCAGTCAGCCTGGTAGAAGACATTCTAAAACTAAAATGCTTTAATTTTCTTAACAAAGACTTTCTTTGCATCAGGGACTAGCAGTGATTCTACCTAGATAAAGTCAAACTAGGGAAGAAGGTAGAAGGACAGCCCCCACAATACATTTTAGATCTACATATTTAAAAAGAACTCATTCTGTTTGCCTACTGAAGGACAGGTAGAAATGCATAGAAACACCAAGAACAGTCTTCAAGAAGAATTTACTAATCCAGGTCCAGTAGACTGAGAATTCACCTTAAGGTCCTTAATATGTCAACTGACCTTGCTCTTAAATGTCTCGCTCATCACTGGTGGGAAAATGTACTGTAGGATTTTTTAAGCACAAATCTATGTAGACTCTAGTATTGACAGATGAGTAATGTACTGATTGATTCAGTGTAGATAAGCATTCCCTCAGAGCATGCTTACCCCTGTCTGTAGTTGAGTGAGCGCTTCATCTGTACTGCTTCTAATTGTGGTTTCTTGTATTTATACCCAACTTCCTATTACTGGTGAGGACCTTCCAGTAATATATACTGTTTAGAATATTTGTGTCTCATAATTATATTTTCTTTCCAGATTCAAAATAAACCAGAAAAGAGACCTGGAACACCACTTCCACCTCCAGCCACCTTTGCAAGTAGTCCCCAACCTCTCTCCCCTGTTCCTCATGTGAATAATGTTGTGAATGCAACATTATCCATAAACATTCCACGGTTCTACTTCCCTGAAGGACTTCCCGATGCCTGCAGTAATTATGAACAGACTCTAAGCAGAATTGAAACTGCTTTCATGGATATTGAAGATCAGAAAGCAGACATTTATGAAATGGGAAAAATTGCAAAGGTAATATAACTACTAAATGATGTATAATCTCCCTTTCTCTAGCAATCCCGATCTCCCTCTCTTTATTGCCTCCTTGCTCTCTGTTTGTAAGCATACATAGAGCTTTTTTTCCATATTGGAAAAATGTATTTGATACTGATGTATTAGCTATGGTTCTACTTTATGGAACTCTTAAGTTTGAAAAAAGCCTTAGTGGTTTCCTAGTCCATCCTCCCATTTAATACAGGAATTCCATCCATGGCATCACCAACACATAAATTCATTATCTGCTTGAATGCCTTCAGTGACAGGAAACTCACTACCTTGTCAAGCAGCCCATTCCATCATTAAATAGCCTTCCTGGTTAGGAAAATTTCCCTTGTGTTGAATACAAATCTCTCTTTTTTGTTCTCATTCATTGATCATAACTCCTTGTCCTGAAGCCAGACAAGGAACAACTAGGCCAGCTCAACACTGTAATTCTTCTCAGAAATAAATGGGTTTGCTACTAGGAAGCAAGTCTGTGATACTTTTCAATATATCCAACTGCTTCTAATTTAAGGTCTTAGTCCCTAGTGCTAAGACTACTGTAACATCTTTAGTAATGGATTCTACACCTCCAGCCTCCTCCTAGAACAGTTACTACTGAGCATAATCATCAGTTTATATTTGATCATGTCATTCCCCAGCTCAGCAATATTCAGGGATTCCTACCATCTGTAGGAATGCTTTGTTTCATTTGGGTTCTGTTTTTATGACGCATGTATACTGAAGAGTCAGGTCATATCTCAGGATTTAGCAGTGGTCTCAAGCTGTGCTTCAAGAGACACAGGGGCTTTAGTAGGCTAAGGGCTGCATGTGGACAACTAGACACCAAGTGGGAGTTCCCAAGACCCCATGCACCCTTCCACTAGGAATGCTTCCTCTGCTTTCAGGAATAATATTTGAAAGTTTGATAACTACCACTTTTGAGGATAAAACCCAAACTACTGTTCCCTGCATGGGCCTGACCCACCTGCCCTCACACAGGCTTGCCTCTGCATTTGGGCTCTCATAGTTCTCCCCTCCAAAATGGGCTTCCACTCTGCCACTCCCACATCACCCATCCTCTAAGACCTAGCTTCCATTGTGTCCTGAGAGACGTCCCTGAACCCGTGCCCTGTCATGTCCCATCTTCTCTCCTACCTCTAACCTCAGAACATTTGTTACCACTGTTAAATAATTTGTAAGTAGAGTGATTTTAAGGGAAGTGAAAAAGAATCCTTTTTTTATTCCTTTTCTCATCACCCCCCCAATCTTAGAACTTGCTTTTTGACCCCTTAGAATGTTTCTAGTGAAAAACAAACTCTTTCATTCCAGAAGTAAGAGCTCACCTGCTTCTCCTCTATTGTACATATGCGGAAACTGAAGTCCTACAAGTATGTACGTGAAGTCACAGAGTTTGTCCATGTCAGGAGACATGTCCTCTGACTCCTGCATCGTGTTGTTTCTACCCTATCTCCCCTGGACGTATGCTAACAAACCATCAGCTGACTTCCAAGCTATATCCACCCAAATAAGTTCTTTCAGGACATTGGCATTTTCTTACCCCAAGCTTTGAGAGATGGCTATTTTATGAATCAAGTGGTAAATTATCTGAGTGGGCTAGAATGATGAATCTAAATCCAAAAGATAGAATTTAGCAAGGATGAATGAAGTCTGATTTGGAGATAACATGTTAATTGCATAAATGCCAAACAGGGTATGTCTAACATGGTAACAGTTTGTGTGAGAGAGACATGAGGTTTCATGGACCACTTCAGGCAGGCAAACAGGAGAGACTGCAGATTGCAGGACATGGTAGTTCCCCAGTGGTCTGCTGGGCTCCCCACATCTGGAGAGCCAATCAGTGACTAGTGCCTCACTGCCAGAGACCTGCAGCCTGCTGTGTCTTGAAGGTCTCTGGGTCGACCTTCCTCCTCTAAGTATTCCCAGCGCCTGACTGAGGAACCTTCCTGCTGTGCTGCCTCCACCCTCCTGCTCTGGCTCTCCCACCTGGCTGGTGGTAGCCCTGCCCTGCCTGTGGCTCAGTGGCTACCAGCACTCCACAGTGAATGCACAGTGAGAGGAGAGCAGAGAGCCTGAGGACTCCACATGGTCATGAGAAGTGTAGGAGAGAGCATAGTCAAGTCAGGGAAAGGGTTTACATGCTGGGGAGTCAGAGGGAGGACTTTCCTATTTACAGGCAGTGAGGATCAATCTGTAGGTGGCATCAGGAAAAACTGCCAGTGTTGAAGCTGACAACATAGAGAAGTTTAAAAAGATAGAAAACTATTTTGTTTAGTAGCCATAGTAACAGGCATTTACGTGACAATTTACTGTTTATACCAAATTATCATGTGGCACAACAGCCAGTATACACATACACATCTGATTAACTTGTCTGAATTGTACTTGATTGTAGCCCTAACTTCCATTCACAGGTGCCAAGCATTTGTGTTCACTGCTCTTAGACCTTAATTGTCAGCTCAGATAGCAAGGTGAACTGCTCATACTTTTAAAAAGTTAAAACTAACATTGCATATAAAGATGAGGATGTGTGTATAATGACCTCGGAAGTACTGTATCAGCTCGTTTTATTGGATTTTGCCTCTTTATTCTTAAAATCATTTATTTTAAAAAAATTCATTTAATCATGTCTTCCAGTTAGCTAGACTCAAGTAATCCAGCTTTTCCTTGGCTACGGCCAGTCTTTTAGCACTCACTAAATCAGCCTTACTTTCCACCATTCTTTGCTCTGCAGACTGTCCTCATCCTTTGGCAGTGCCTGCATCACTCACCCTCATGAGCTTGTGTTCTCACGACAGGTTGGCTATAGGAAAGACAACCCATGGGGGACAATGAAGGAGGATGTGGTCAGAGCAATAAATGAACGTTTTTATGGATTCTTAGAGTTTGTAAAGCTACTTGGAGGACCTTCCCTGGTAGTCCAGTGGTTGAGATTTTGCCTTCCAATGCAGGGGGTGCGGGTTCGATCCCTGGTCAGGGAGCTAAGATCACACATGCCTCACGGCCAAAAAACCAAAACATAAAACAGAAGCAATATGGTAACAAATTCAATAAAGTCTTTAAAAATGGCCCACATCAGGGCTTCCCTGGTGGCACAGTGGTTGAGAGTCTGCCTGCCGATGCAGGGGACACGGGTTCGTGCCCCGGTCCGGGAAGATCCCACATGCCGTGGAGCGGCTGGGCCCGTGAGCCATGGCCGCTGAGCCTGCGCGTCTGGAGCCTGTGCTCCGCAACGGGAGAGGCCACAGAAGTGAGAGGCCCGCGTACTGCAAAAAAAAAAAAAAAAATGGTCCACATCAAAAGAAAAGAGAAAAATATCTCTTTTATAAAGCTACTTTGAAGGCCAGCTTGAGTTTACAGTCTACTCTCCGTGATGCTTAAGTGTAGCTGTAGAGACTGGGATCTGTTTTTTAAGTGCAAAGAAAACTGTTTATGAAATCTGCATCTGTTGGTGAAGTTTAGCTCATTCATCTTCAACCTCAGACAGCGTGGAGAGATTAATGTCCATTTCTGATTAAATTCTCAGTGTGTAGTTTGTACTTTTTTCCACAGCTTTAAGTAGTGATGGAGAAGAAATGACTAGAGAATGAATCTAAGAGGAGCAAAAGCAGCATAGGATGGGCTTCCCTGGTGGTTGAGAGGCCCGTGTACCGCAAAAAAAAAAAAAAAGGCATAGGAACAGAAACTGAGGAACAGCAAGGGAAGTATTTGTCACCACTGAGTTTTAGCCTCTAAGAGAAAGTTGAGGGAAAAGAATGAAAGTCTTCTGAACCGAACAAAGCCCTCCAGCTCCTCTAATTGGCTGATACAGTACCATCTTGACCCATCGTGTCTGTGGCCTGCAAGCTAGCCTCTCTGTACCTTTTTTTCTTCATCTGCAGAACTGGATAAAAATACCCACCTTCTTCTGTATGGGATCATGTCAGGGCCAAATGAAATAACGGGCGTGAGACATTTTAAAATGTTAAAGAACATTACAAATATTGGGTGATCATCTCTTCCTATGTATCATTAGACAACCTTGCTTTCAGTTCTTTATGTTGTTGGGCCATTTTTAGATCTAATTATAGGTGTCAGTCAAGCTTTCTTTGCTCCAGCAACGCTGACTCTTGCCTCCTCCTCTAAACCTCAGTTTCCTAAACCCATTTTCAGCACGTCCTGTGCCTCCTCACTTGTCATCCAGTCTTTTCCTTTGTAAAAAGCCTTGACATGAGCTTGTTCTCTCCATTGTTATAAAAGTTTCTATTCTGTTGCTCTCAGATTGATATCATTTACTTTTTTTTAGGTTCTTATTGATCTCCTGACTCCCTTTATCTTTTTTTTTTTTGTCTGCAAGAAACCCACTTAATTTTTTTAAATATTTTTAGCATCTTTATTGGAGTATAATTGCTTTACAATGGTGTGTTAGTTTCTGTGTTGTATAACAAAGTAAATCAGCTATATGTGTACATATGTCCCCATATCCCCTCCCTCTTGCACCTCCCTCCCACCCTCCCTGTCGCACCCCTCTAGGTGGTCACAAAACACTGAGCTGATCTCCCTGTGCTATACGGCTGCTTCCCACTAGCTATTTTATATTTGGTGGTGTATATATGTCAATGCCACACTCTCACTTCGTCCCAGCTTAGCCTTCCCCCTCCTTGTGTCCTCAAGTCCATTCTCTGTGTCTGCATCTTTATTCCTGCCCTGTCCCTAGGTTCTTCAGAACCACTTTTTTTTTAGACTCCATATATATATGTTAACATACGGTATTTGTTTTTCTCTTTCCAACTTACTTCAGCCTGTATGACAGACTCTAGGTCCATCCACCTCACTACAAATAACTCAATTTCGTTTCTTTTTATGGCTAAGTAATATTCCATTGTATATATGTGCCACATCTTCTTTATCCATTCATCTGTTGATGGACACTTACGTTGCTTCCATGTCCTGGTTATTGTAAATAGAGCTGCAGTGAACATTGTGGTACATGATTCTTTTTGAATTATGGTTTCCTCAGGGTATATGCCCAGTAGTGGGATTGCTGGATCATATGGTAGTTCTATTTTTAGTTTTTTAAGGAACCTCCATACTGTTCTCCCTAGTGGCTGTATCAATATATATTCCTACCAACAGTGCAAGAGGGTTCCCTTTTCTCCACACCCTATCCAGCATTTACTGTTTGTAGATATTTTGATGATGGCCATTCTGACTAGTGTGAGGTGATACCTCACTGTAGTTTTGATTTGCATTTCTCTAATGATTAGTGATGTTGAGCATCCTTTCATGTGTTTTTTGGCAATCTGTATCTTTGGAGAAATGTCTATTTAGGTCTTCTGCCCATTTTTGGATTGGGTTGTTTGGTTTTAGGTATTGAGCTGCATGAGTTGCTTGTTAATTTTGGAGATTAATCCTTTGTCAGTTGCTTCATTTGCAATTATTTTCTCCCATTCTGAGGGTTGTCTTTTCATTTTGTTTATGGTTTCCTTTGCTATTCAAAAGCTTTGAAGTTTCATTAGGTCCCATTTGTTTATTTTTGTTTTTATTTCCATTTCTCTAGAAGGTGGGTCAGAAAGGATCTTGCTGTGATTTATGTCATAGAGTGTTCCGCCTTTGTTTTCCTCTAAGAGTTTTATAGTGTCTGGCCTTACATTTAGGTCTTTAATCCATTTTGAGTTTTTTTTTGTGTTTGGTGTTAGGGAGTATTCTAATTTCATTCTTTTGCATGTAGCTGTCCAGTTTTCCCAGCACCACTTATTGAAGAGGCTGTCTTTTTTCTCCATTATAGATTCTTGCCTCCTTTATCAAAAATAAGGTGACCATATGTGTGTGGGTTTATCTCTTGGCTTTCTATCCTGTTCCATTGATCTATGTTCTTGTTTTTGTGCCAGTACCATACTGTCTTGATTACTGTAGCTTTGTAGTATAGTCTGAAGTCAGGGAGTCTGATTCCTCCAGCTCCATTTTTCTTTCTCAAGATTACTTTGGCTATTCGTTCACTCCCTTTATCTTAATCCTTTGTTTTTAAGCAGATGCAGGCCAGCCATACATTTTTTAAAAATGGTCAAAGTGTAATGTCTGTAGCCCTTGCCATCCACTGCCCTTCCAATTTTTTCTTTTGGCATTTTCTCCAAGTCCCTGATACCCTCATGTTGCCCAACCTTTGGCTGCTCAGGGTGACCCACTACAAGAAAAACAAGTCAGCCCTTTCCTATCTATCTATTTTGTACCTTATCTCTTAGGATTCTGCCTTTGGGTCATAAAAAATTTGTAAATGTTAATCCCAGTGATTTACTACTCTTTATGAGCTGACATGTACACATTTTAACCGGAGTCTTCTGAATAAAAGACTGTAATCCAAGGAAATGAAAGTTTTTAATAGTGGAAGTAGCCCCACGGGAGATAGTAAGTGCACAGTCCCTGGAAGTGTTTCGCCGAGCTAGTGACCACTTCCCAAGGATGAAATAGAAGATTCCTGATCCCTTGCAATTCTGAAAAATCCATAGTGGCTCTAGTGGTGGGAGCTTCAAGCACCTTGGCAAGCCAGTTTCAGTCTCTCCTTGTATTTTCTCCCTTTTTGTGGCTCTGCACCCCTCACCTCCATAATACAGGCTATTCATTCAACTTTTCCAGCAGTTACCAACAGCCTGTCATATTTAAGAGCATTTTCTTGGCAAACCACCATTCTGCATGAAAGGAAGGATTGGGATTGGGGAAAGTGGATTTGACAGTTACCACCCAAAGTATGTTAATTGTAAGCTTTGTACCTTGGCAGTCATAATTTATACAATAAACAAAATCCATTTGTTGTCTAAGCAACACCTTTCCCTCATTCTTGACCTCAGTGGAGGTATTTGACCTATGGACTTAAGAAATCTTAAATTCCTTCCTGCTTGCAGAACATGCTTTAGTGGCCCTGGCAGAAAGAATCTCTTATTTCTGCCCTGTAACTTACCTCCCTTGGCCTGAATCTCACCATCCATATCCTCATCTCTGACATGAACCCAGCAGCCCTGGGCATTCTCTCAGCATAAATGATCTCAGATGAGGTACTATGCAGGCTTCTGTGGGGATCCCCCGTGCACTGAGGCCTCACATCAGGAGCAGCTTCACTTCAACCTATTGTGGGTTCACATCCAGTCATCTGTAGAGGGGAAGCTTCCCTTTGTAGAATAAGGCTCAACAGATCCTATGTCTAATATGAATAATAAGAATATCTTTATCCAGTGACAAGATGTGACTCTCTGAAGAGCTTCAGATTTGGGAATACATTTTATGTGTATATATAAAATTGGGATCATTTAGAGACTATTTCTCCGCTAATATTTAGATATTATTATTACTTGGAAGAATTTTCCCTCTAGAAAAAAAGCAGGTTAATTTGGTACAGACTGTCTCTTATAAGAGTATAGGAATAATTTTTCTTAATTGAAAGAGAGAGCTTTTTTATTGAGGAGAAAAATATCATTATCTTTTAGGGTATTGTATTTTAGTTCTTTCTAAGGCTTTCATAATATGTAGTCATTTGTGGTATCTTCTAAATAAATAATAGTATTTTAATTTTTGCTTTTCAGCTTTCACCTGAATTGTATCCATTTAAATAGATTTATAGCTGTTTTCTTGAACAGTCCAGGCTTTTCTGGTTCTTTTTGCACCTGGGGCTTAATAACACAATAAGCAAAGGAGAGAGAGGGAGAGAGGTGATAGAGTGTATTGACACCAAGTGAGTGAGCAATAAAGGTGGCTGTATTTTCCTGCCATAGGAAGGAAGGGCATATACAACCATGACGTTCAGTCACTTCTATTTTTTTCCTAAAGGTAGAAAATATATGATGTAAGAGTGGTAGGAAGGGAGGGAGACTGGTTGTTTTTTCAGGTTAGGGGAAAGAAACATCACTATAAATGCACTTGAAGAAAAGGCAAATGGATTTTCATTTTCTTCATTAAACATGTCATCTTCGGGCTTCCCTGGTGGCGCAGTGGTTGAGAATCTGCCTGCTGATGCAGGGGATGCAGGTTCGTGCCCTGGTCTGGGAGGATCCCACATGCCACGGAGCGGCTGGGCCCATGAGCCATGGCTGCTGAGCCTGCGCGTCCGGGAGCCTGTGCTCCACAATGGGAGAGGCCACAGCAGTGAGAGGCCCACATACCGCAAAAAAAAAAAAAAAAGTCATCTTCTTATTTTGTTTCCCCTCTGTCTTGCTGAATCTACTCCTCTGCCTCTGCCCCAGTTTTGCTCCTCCAAGGGCCCTTCTGTCCACTGTGGCATGAAGGGTAAAAGCCACAAAGACCCTTTCTTTGGTCATGTCATCTCTTCACTGCCCCTTGGCTTACACTGTATTTGTGCTTTATTTGCAGGTCTGTGGGTGTCCTCTTTATTGGAAAACCCCCATGTTCAGGGCTGCAGGGGGAGAGAGGACAGGATTTGTGTCAGCCCAGTCATTCATTGCCATGTGGAGAAAGTAAGTATGAGAGCAGTTACTCTGGGGCTGGGCAAGGAATTGTCCAGCCCTCATGACATGCTTTATAAAAGTCACTTATTTTACTCATTTATTAATTTTCCCCTTATCCTTTGTTTCAACAAGTAAAATTCAATGATTCACAACTTTTTATGCCCACACACAAATT